AGATAAGTGGCTCATGAAACTGCTGTGATTTTCATAGAAAAGTTTCTTCTTATTTTACACCAAAATCAGTCGTTTTGTGGACAGAACTCATGATTTGAATACCGATCACATCGGCGCCCAGCAAATTGTGTAATGAAATAGAGGCCACTTACTTAATTCCAACTTCAAGGTTACATTGCTTCGCAACAAGTCGCAGAAACGAAAAGCCTGAAGGCACACACTGCAAGAGAAGTGTGAATAGCAAGACAAAAGTAGAACGAAAACTGTAAAAAAGTACAGCGAGGATTGTACAAAGTACAACGAGAATTGTACAACGAACAATGAGGCCTGGACTTGGCTGCACTCGTCATGCGGGTGCCATTGAACTTCGAACAACAATTGTTGTAAGAAGTACAAATTTTTTTTTCTTGGTAAAATATATTGCCAGGAATTCTTGTAGGTCTGCATTGCGCCCCGCGCCTCATGTGTACATTGACGCCACATAAAGTCAACGATGCATATATTTGTCTCAGAGATCCTTAACTTAACATTTAACTAACACTGCTTTCATAACGTAACATAAGACAATGATCGCTAAAGGTTAAGGGTACGGACTTATGAAAGTACACTCTCATTCCAGGAACGTGACATCACGTTGAAACGAACGTGACAAAATGTCACGTTCGTTTGAGCATTGTGTCACATTCGTTTGGGTGTGAATTGGCCAAAAATCAGCTTGTTCACATTCAAACGAACGTGACACAATGCCGAGGGGTGAATCACTCAGCGTTCTGGTGTACACATGAGTACATGAGTACGGGTGAGTACACCTTAGAAAACTCGTAAATTTCACATTTATATACGTGTAAAGGCTTTTATTAGTGTTTTAGACAACACGCAACACCAAATCTTACTTTAAACTAGCGAATTTTGCTAAATTTAAACTTGTGAGTACACTGAGTACGGGCGAATTTGTACACATGAGTACACCAGTGATTCACCCCTCGCACAATGCTCAAACGAACGTGACACTTTGTCACGTTCGTTTCAACGTGATGTCACGTTCCTGGAATGAGAGTGTACTTGCAAAAGTATATCCACACAAATTCGAGACATAAAAAAAATAACCCGCCCTTATGAAAAGATGTTAGAAGTTAAGGGTAATAACTTTAACTCTTATCATAACATTACGATGCCCTTATGAGGTAAGTTAAGGATCCCTGATTTGTCTTTTTCTAAGTACACTGGTAAAACTAAAGCGTAACTCTATGCTTGAGACAAGCATAAAGTTACGCTTGAAGACGTTACGCTTGAAATCAAGCATACTCTGGAAACTCCCCCATGCATTTAGATAGGGGAAATCTTTGCGCATGAGCCTTTAACGCTTCATTTCAAGCGTAAACTGATTACGCTTGAAAACAGTGGGTAATACTACGCTTTGGTTTTACCAGTGTAGATCACGTACGGGCACTGTTCACCGCTGACAAACTGGAATCGAGGACCACGACTTCTTCTTTCACATTTTAACCATGGTGATTCTTCACAGCACACTGATAACTCTACCTTCTCCGGCAAGAAAATGGCAGCATTCAAAGTTCTCAAATAACGGCAATCGAAGTTCACAACACTTTCAGGTTCCCTTTTCATGTCGATGCAGTCAAATCACTACACTTCCAGTCTTGTTTGATGCACTCTATTTAAACGCAAGGATGGATTAGTCCTGAAGTGCGGTCCTAGAAGTCCTAGAAGGGCATGAAGTCTTTCAGCGTAGTTCTACGGTTGAATGAAGTGAATGAATAACTCTGTAGATTCACCCGTTCAGCTCGCAGGGTGCACTCGCCTCACTCGGTTATCAGTTCCAGGGTTGTGACGACGGACTTCGAAATCCGTCGCAATTGTTGATGGCCGTTAGGGAGCACCGTCCAGTAGAGCAGCAAATTATGTCCAACACCAATTAAGTTGCACTTCGGCGACGATGCGATATCCATCCGCCCCCGCGGGTGCGCAACAGAGAAGGCAGACCTGGATGAAGGAGGTTCACAGGAGGCGAAATTCACTTAGTTTGATCATTTGATACAGCTACAAATCAATATAATTTGCGCTTTACTTCACTTTAATCTGCAGATGAAAGATCAAAGAAACCAATAGTGCATGTAAAAATATAATCCGCTCACTCTCGTATCCGTCCCGAATGATCACAATGAGTGAAATTCGCATGCGTTCAAGATAAGATTCTCTCGAGAAGAACACTCTCATTCCAGGAACGTGACATCACGTTGAAACGAACGTGACAAATTGTCACGTTCGTTTGAGCATTGTGTCACATTCGTTTGGGTGTGAGTTGGCCAAAAATCAGCTTCTTCACATTCAAACGAACGTGACACAATGCTCAAACGAACGTGATGTCACGTTCCTGGAATGAGAGTGAACGCCCAGATAACATCTTTTGAACAGGATCCCTCGATTTGACATAAGAGCAAGGGAAAACAACTCTAATTAATGTGTAAACAAGTGAAATTTGAAGAAGTTCTTCAACATTCGGTGAAATTTACACCCGCGAATTTGAGTTATAAAGTATACCTCACCCAAACTTTTATACTACTGGATACACTCTTTGATTCTCAGAGGGGAGAGCGCCGACACCTCACCCCAACTGGTGTAGCAGGCGGTCAGGTGCTCGGTGGCCATGTGACGTAACACCTGCCCACTGCACAGCCGGTGGTAAGTTTACTTGCCACAAATTTAGCAAGTCGTTTTGAATGCCAAAAATTGGCAAGCTTGGCCTAGAAATACTCCTCAGCTTGCCAAAATTTGACAAGTTTACGTAGATTGAACTGAACAAAGCTTGCCAAATTTTGGCATTTAAAACGGATTGCCAAATGTGTGGCTAGTAAAGTTTACCACTGGCTTTGCAGTGCTGTCGTGAACCACTCTGCGGGAACCCTACGAACAGTCCTCAGCGGTCGTGCCACAGCGAGTTACTGCAGTATGGGCTGACGGCGCTTTCCTCCGGCCCGGCGAGGTGCGGCGGACAGGATGCGACGCGTGGTTACGAATGCAGCGCGCGTGTGCTGGCGGGCTGCATAAAGGATTGACCGCGCCGCCCGGCGCCCGCACGCGACCACCGCGGAGAACGCACACTGTGCGTGACCACCGGTTCCCCTTGGTACGCGCATCGGGCTGGCAAGCTTGCGGTCAGTGCGTTGAGCGGAGTTCTACGTGGAGGCTCGTGCTGGACTCTATTGGCCGATGCACTTTTGGTACACATTAAGTGGACTGGACCGTAAACTGAGGTGGTAGGAGACAATTTTCGAGTAAATTAAGGGTACTGTAAAGTGAAACTAGCAAGTCTACGAAATATTTGTCGCAGCAAGTTCTAATTCAAATCACTATTAGATGAATTTATTCGTAAAGTTGGGGGCCCCAACCCCTATTACTTTCTAGTTACGGAGGTATACGCAAACTTCCAGTCGTTTCTCACAAACTCTCCTCACATCAAAGAATTACCTACTCAGTTAGGAAAAAGATAGCGTTGCCAGATTTGAATATATCAGAGAGGAGGCTGTAGATGCAATTTTATCCAGGGACCCCCAACTTCACTGTTAGTCAACTTGTGATGCAGACCGCACTTTCTGCGCAATACAAATTTCATGGCAATTTCTGTGATGATCATTGCCTAAAGGTGTAATGAGCTACAGTATTGCAGAATTTTGCAATGATCATCGCAGAAAACTGTAATAACAGATTTTGTGTTGCCATCATCGCAGTTTATTGCAATAATTCCGATTTTCATTGCAGAAAGTTGCGATGATCATTGCAGAATTTTGTGTGATACAGAAGTCATTGCATCTCAGGAGGAATGATTCTTGGGAATCGCATTTTGGATACCATCGCACGTTTTTGTGTTGAAAGTATCGCAACTTGGATAACAGTGTTAACATAACATTTAACATACACTTTACAAAAAATGTCCTGTCAATGCCGTTAATTTATTATCAATGTTTGCTGTTATGCAATATGCAATTCACGGCGTTTCTGTGAACTACACTCTAAATGTCTTACGAAGAAATTTCCCATAATACGAAGGAAATGGCGCAAGCATAATACGAAGGTGGTTTTTCTTCGTATTACGAAGGTTTTTCTTTGTATCTTACAATGAAAAAGCTAAAAAGATTCGTATTACGAAGGAATGGTGCTTCGTATTATGCTTGCGCCGAATTCACTGTAACATACGAATAACATAGGTCAAATTTCATTGTAAGACATTTAGAGTGTAGTTCACGGCGTTCACTGTGATCTCGGTCACAGTGTTCACTGTGATCTGGCCGCAGTAAACGCCGAGAATTGGAGCCTGATTTGCAGTACTTCGGAGCTCAGCGGCGTCAAACTCATAGAGTTTACTGTGGACCAGTTCACAGTGAACACCGCGAACAAGATCACAGTGAATCGCGTGAGCAGATCACAGTAAATCGAAATTGACCTTACGAAGTAAAGCTGTAATAATGTAACGGTATTGACAGGACATTTTTTTACAGTGGCTGGCGTACTGTATTGATGACCCGAATTCAAGCTGATTGGATTCAGAAAATTTCAATTTTCTGAACCGGTTGCATATTTTTGCGACTTGATCTTCACTCGGGTACTCTAGTTGTTGGCGGGTGTAGAGCAAGGAGAATTACAAACAGCTGTTTTCAAAACTGATTTCTTTGTAGAACATCTTTTGATACCTTCGTTAATATTTTCCAGTTCTTGATTTTTCAGTTAAATGGCGTCTCTACCTGATGCTACGTACACTTTTAATGTCTTACGAAGAAATTTCCCATATTACGAAGGAAATGGCGCAAGCATAATACGAAGGTGGTTTTTCTCGTTTTACGAAGGTTTTCTTTGTATCTTACAATGAAAAAGCTAAAAAGATTCGTATTACGAAGGAATATTGCTTCGTATTATGCTTGCGCCGAATTCATTGTAACATACGAATAACATAGGTCAAATTTCATTGTAAGACATTTAGAGTGTAGGGCACAGCGTAAGCATGTTGTCTCTTTGTCTAAACCAAGTTTTTTTTTGATGATGATGGTGGATGTGGTATTCGGGATGTTTAGTAGATTTCTTACTGATATCGACTTGCAACGCTTACTTTCATCTCCATATCCGCGGTTTCAGGAGACGGGCACGGGCCTCATTTTAGCGCTGTTATTTTGGGCTCCGTCCGGCGTATCGTTACTATTGCAGAGGTCAGCTCACTGCCGCTTTTATTCATTTAATTCGCGGCCCTTGTGGGGACGTTATGCTCCTTGCGGGAAACTCGGCAACACACGAAAAGCCATGGGAGTTTCTTTGTCCTATTCTCAGCACGTTTGTGAATGCTAATGAAGTTGACTCCACTGATACGAATTGCCAAATGAAATTGCGAATTGCAGTAAATAGGGGACAATTCGTGTCCCCCCCCCAAGCAAACACACAAATGTGTCACCGACGGGTGAGCTTAAAATTGTATCTTTCAAGGTTGAAGGAAGTCCTCCGACAATTCAGTGTGTAACGGGGAAATTTCTTTCGCTGTCAGTGTGTGTGCCCCACTCTAGCCTTAGCTGGTCGATTAGTAGACAGCATGGATGTACAGACCTAGAACTCTACAAATAACTGCTCGTTGTAATTCAAAGAAAACGAATGCTTCGCAGTCTACGGATGAAATCGTTTCTCATACAAATCGTTTGTAACACAAACGATTTTGTTTGTAATTCAAAGGAAAATCCTTAGCCTACGAAGAACTTCTTCGCAGCCTGCGAAAGGTTTCTTTCTTTGTATTTCAAACAAAATCGTTTGCCTTTCAGACGGTTTTCTTCGTAGGCTGCGAATCATTCGTTTTCTTTGTATTATGACGAGCAGTTCTTTGAGGGAGTTTATCTGTGTACAGCTGTTTCGAGCGGTCTTTGTATTTGCTTCTTTGTCCACTCTCAGGTACAATGGCGTCCGACGGAGAACCCGCGATGAAGAAGCGTCGCTCCAATGATGAAGGGTATGTTCGCTTCTTGCTTGACGCGTTATGTTCAAAATCATGTGTCACGTTCGTCCACTGTCTACGTCAAAAACGGTTCCTGGTTTATCCAGGTGGCGTTTAGTGAAAAAACATACGAGATTTTCAGGGTAAACCAGGAACCGTTTTTGCTGTGTGATTGAAGCCTACGATTTTTCACGTGATGTTTTTTCACCAGTGCTTTGCCGTTCTTTGAGTGACTTGACATGTTCGCCGCGAAGTTTAGAATATTCGGTGGTGTCAGGGAAACTGGAAAGGCAAAATGGCAATATTGGTAGTTTTTACTACTTGCACGGTAAAAACGGTGCCTGATTTTCCCATGAATCTCCTGAAACCTCTACCATACGCTTCCTGGGGAAACCAGGTACCGTTTTTACTGTGTGCGTCATCGTTTGAGTTGCTCACAGAAACGGTCAGACTTTTATTCAAGGCCCGCAACTACTGTGCGTTTCAAATTAATGGACGTTGACGTCGTCGACGTCGTACCAGGGGGTGGCAACAGCCTAGTGCGCACGTGAAGCTACGCGCGCCGCTCGGGCCGGCAAGGAGCGGCTGGGCCGCGCGGCCGAACCAAATTAAACAGAACTTTGTCAAAACTGCATCGAACTGAGTAAACGAGGTCATTTTTAGATTCTACGCAAAATTTCCTATCCGTGAGTGACAATGGAATGGACTTTTGGATATGTGAAACAGTTCTAAAATCAATTTGAAAACCAAATTTACGGCACCAGACAGCCGACTTGAAGTTTCCCTTTCACTAAAAAAGCTATCTCCGTTCGTTTTAGGTCCATACATACAGCGAGCCGATTGTTGGCCACTATTTTCCGGGTTGCGTGGTACACTTGGAACGCCAATACGACTTCTGTAGCAGAAATGCCGATCCAAAAACTAATTTCCATTTTTGGTCCAAAATTGTATTTTGCAACTTTGGAGGTTAAAAGCACAGTTTGAAATAGGTTTTTCAGCATTGTCAACCTCACTAAGCAACCCAGAATTCAATTCTCTATCGCCCTGCTGTGTTGGATTTGCAAAAGGAGGTCAAACTTCTAATTGAAACGAAAAGGCCCGAAGCGCTGCAAAACCGCCATAACAGTTCAAGTATTTTGTGGAGCTTAATGTGTGAAAACTATTTCTCAGATTGTAAATCCAACCACACCGCCTTGTAGGCCAGTCAATTCTACAGCTCCATTGTAAGTTTCATCGCAATCGGAGACCAAGAGTAAAGACAGCTATAAAAATTTGTAAATCCCATCAGTTTGGTTGATTGGTCGAGCGGGCGCAAGTATGAGTAATCGCTGCGGCAGATTTTTGCAGCTAACTTTAAAATATATTCTGCCGCCTTCACTTTTGGTCTCCGATTGCGATGAAACTAAAAATGACCTCGTTTACTCAGTTCGATGCAGTTTTGGCAAAGTTCTGTTTAATTTGGTTCGGCCGCGCGGCCCAGCCGCCCGGCCGCTCCTTGCCGGCCCGAGCGGCGCGCATAGCTTCACGCGCGCACTAGGCTGTTGCCACCCCCTGGTCGTACTAAGGTACTAAAAGGCGTTTAGATCGGAAGTCCATGCGTTTCTCGGTCTTGAAGTTTACGAAGCATTTTGTCGTCGGAGTTAAAAGCTTTCGTGTTCTCTAAATACGTTGCTAGTACAAGTTCTCTTTGTAAATCCTACAATCCCGTCTTCAACAGTGTGTAAGGTTTTCAGGGTGTAGCTTCCGCTTGTTTGTTTGTACCGATGCCCGTTTCCGTCATCAGGTGGTGGAACTGCGCTTCGTGCCTCAGTTCCTCTGTGTGCTGGAGTCACGCCGCCGACGTCCTGAGCAGTGCAGCCGGGCGCCCCAAAATCCAGAGCCGGTTGGAAGAGGCGCAGGCCGCAGTGGCCAAGGCCCAGAAGAAGGCGGATGGCTTGCAGCGTGCGCTGAAACGGATGGTGAGCTGCTTCGCACATCAGAAATTCTCGTCTGTACCTTAGCCTTTACTCACTCCAACTCAGTTAGGTTTCAGTTGAAAACACTTGTATGTAGGCACCTTGTGAGACGAGCGCCTAGACAAAAAAAAACATGGCTGAATTGAGTGGAAACCCACTACACTCGTACTTAATTGTACGTAATTTTAGTCACTGGCAGACCTCTCAACCTTGATTATTAGTGAGAACTATTTCAATAATTCAGAAGAAAAATTTCTTGATTTTAAGGCTTGAAGTACCCTTACAGCCTGCCCAGATTTGTTTATATATATATTGGTTTTTTTTTACATTGGTTTGGCCTTTCGCATTTTCGATATTCTCTGTGCAACTTTGAGGAAGGAGCGCATTTTTTTTTTCGAAAGCGGATTCGCCCGTTCCGTCCGCGAACCATTGAAGATTCTTTTTTCGACACACACTATATGTTATGTCAGGAATCCTTAGCTTACCTCATAAGGGCATCATAACGTTATCATAAGAGTTAAAGTTATTACCCTTAACTTCTAACATCTTTTCAAAAGGGTAAGTTATTTTTTTGTCTCGAATTTGTGTGAATATACTTTTGCAAGTACTTTTATAAGTCCGTACCCTTAACCTATAGCGAACATTGTCTTATGTTACGTTATGACAGCAGTGTTAGTTAAATGTTAAGTTAGTTAAGGATCCCTGTGTTATGTACAATTTTGTACGAGACATCACCGGTTTTTGTGCACACGAAATTTTGGTACAATTTTCGTAGGAAAAACTGCACATTTTTCGCCTTTTTTGTACAAAATTGTACAAAATTTGTACAAAAGTTGTACGTTATGGTCGTGTGCACAAAAAACTGTGATGTCTCGTGCAAAATTTGTACAAAAACATTTAGTGTGCATCGTGGCTTCGAAGCTTCCGTAATCAAGAAGTTTCGGAACGCACCGCTCGGGATTTTCCAATTCAGTTTTGACAGAGTTGCCCCATCCATTCCCCCCGCCCCAGGCTCGAGGCTTGACCTCCCCCGTGCTGCTGATCCTGCATGGCGGCTGGCTGGAAGGCGACAAGGGCTGGGCTCCGGGCCGCCTGCCGGTGAGTCTGGCGGTGCCCAGCTCGGCCCTGGACCCGGCCCTGGCGGCCTCTACGTGCGCCGCCCTGAGCAAGGTGAAGCTGGAGATGGAGGGCTGCTCGTCGGGCATGTTCTACGGCCGCGACGTGCCGCTGCCCGACCAGCTGGTCGCGCTCGTCCCCGCGCGGCCCGCCCAGGAGATGCGGCCCGGCGCTGTGCTGTTCGACACGGCCAGGCAGCGCCTCTTCATCCACGTGCGCAGGTAACGCACTCGAAATTAAAATGTAGTCGGCTTTTGAACACATTAAGGGGGGACCCTGGTGAAAAAATCGCCAAAATTCCCAAAAATAGTATTTTCAAAGTTCATAGATAAAAATGTGCATAGAAGGTTTCAAATTTAACAGGTTGAACACCTTTAAGCTAAGTGGGTAGTTTCTTTATCATTTGGAAGGAAATAACATGGAGATCAGTTGTCGTTGGTTTCTACGCTCAACTTCACAGCTTTGCTCAGTCGACAAAAAATTTTGTCGTAGAAAGACTTCCTGCGTTCCTGGTTGACACCTACATGAGTCGTCTTGCATGGGCTCTATTCATTGATGACTTGTCGACAAATTTTAGTGACGGAATCTTGATATCAGTCCTACTTTTTTTTAAACACACCTTAAAGTTTGAAAAAAGGGGAAAAAATCACTTTTTTTTAGTGTTGAAATTTGAAAACTCATATCTCAGGACAGAAGTTGAATTTGAAAATTCCGTCACTAAAATCTCTTCTACACATCTTTAGGATAACCCAAAAAAATTTTCAAGACTTTCCGTCCCAATGAAAGACGCAGGAAGATTTTTCCCCAACGCTCCAAAAAACACTAAAAAGCCACTTTTCTCAGAGACCGTTTAACATTTTGGATTGAATTTTGTTTTGGGAACTCGCCATAATGAACCTCATAATTAAGCAAAGTTTCAACTTTCTGGGATTATTTTGAAGCCTACTTGAAAGTTTCACGAGGGTCCCCCCTTAAAAACTCTACGAAGAGTCGCTTCGTAATGCGAAGAAAATGACGGCATTGTAAAATCTATGAAGAAATGCTTCGTATTATGAATCAGAATCCTTCGTAATACGAAGCATTTCTTCAAAATACGAAGCGTTTCTTCAATGTCTTCATTTTCTTTGTAGTTATGAAGCAAATGCTTCGTAGGCTTTTAAGAGTGAACGTGCACTCTCATTCGACTAGCTGAATGTGTATGTCACTTTATGACAAAAACGTGGATGATATTTTCGTCACTTACAAATTATGACAATCTCATCTCAAATTGATGACATTTTCATCAAAGCTCCTATACTTATTGCATGGGCTTGACAACAACGTCCTCAATTGTTTTGATGACATTGTTGCAAGGAAAATTAGCCTTGAAATCGTCATCAAGTGATGCCCCAAATTTTCTCAGTGTTTGTGCGTGGTGCTGCATGACTTAAAACCTATGTGACGTTTTGCGAAAAATTGTGTTCAAATTTGCATCATTTATTACATGTTTACGAATAATATTCTGCAAATTCCACCCATGCTCAAAGTCGCGCAAGTTACACGTCCAAAATTCTACTTTATTATTTAATGTGCAGGATCGTACCATCACACTTTTAAAGCTGTGATGTCCGGATCGTCTATTTTACGGCGGTGCATCTGACTTCATATAGCAAACAAATCACTCACGAAATCTTGCGTACGAGTCTGAGAGTGATCGTACGAATGTGATATTCCACACTCTCAGTCTTGTCTTGACTATTAATCTCTTGCCATAAATATTTTTGTGCAAACGCAGTATGTACTTGCTTTTGTAATGTATCTAGTATCCATTAAACCTGACTTTTTGTCATTTGCCATGTACTTTCCAATTTTTACATGGTCTATTGACAATGTTATCTTTAAAACGATCAAAATTGTGCATAGTTAAAGAGAAAGTAGTACATTTTACGTTCGCTCAAAAAACGTTATAAGCAAGGCAAGAGAGGAAAAAGTCCATAGAGGTCTGAGAGTGTGCCAATTGACCCCTTCACTGAGAAAATTTGAACCGTCACTTGATGACAATTTCAAGGCTAATTTTCCTTACAACAATGTCAGCAAAACAGACACTGTTGTCACGCCCATGCAATTAGTATAGGAGCGTTGATGAGAATGTCATCAATCCGTGATGAGATTGTCATAATTTGAAAGTGATGGAAATATCATCCACGTTTATGTCATAAGTGACAACAAAATTTCACAGTGTTTTGACGTTTGACCTTGCAGAACACCCGAAATGAAGCGGACGCGATCTGGGTCCTGCAAGCTGCTGGGGTACCTCCTCCCGGAGGGTTTGAACAGCCTGTCGTTCACCCACGTGCCCAACGCCCGGACTGCGGCCTGCGTGTACTGCCACCGGACCGACAGCGTGTCCATTCCCTTCACCGACGTCAAGGTGCAGACCTGCTTTGACCCGGACAAAGGTGAGGCGAGGCGGGTTGTCGGTACTTCCTTTTACGCTCGCTTTAAGGGAGCAGCAGCGGTGCACACTAAATTAATGTCACGAGACATTTTGCGTCCCACGAGACATGCGGTCGCACTAAATTACTATGCAAGTTTTTCTGCGCGCTATAATGCACTTCATAACGCACGAATTTGTGCGCGACAGTGCACGATTTCGTGCGCAAGTATGCAGAAAATCGTGCATTGCCGCGTTCAAATTTGTACTTTCCGAAGTGCATGTTTGATTTCGTGCAACTTCCTTGGGCAAAATTTTGGCGATGTTTCTCCTGTTGAACGACAAGGAATACACACGTTTCCACAAGTTTTAGAAAAGAAAGTGGTTGATATTCCGGCCATTTTTGTGGTGTGTGTGAAGGATACGAGTCAACACCAACATATTTGTCTGATAATAACAAACAATCAGCCTCTCAGTTTCCGCCAAAAAAAATTTAAAACAAAATTTTAACCACTTGTGTTACGCAACTTCTGCAGTGAAAATGACCCTCTTACTTTAATAAATTATATCGAAAAGTATTTCAAAACTCACGTTCTTTCAACCTTCAATTTTGTCCCCATAATGACTTTTAAAAAGCTTTTCGCCCTTGCGAGGTCCTACATGGAACTGCCTGACATAAATTAATCCTTTGCGGGTAAAATTTGTCTCCTTTCAAATTTTCAACACAGCAGTGTGCATCTTAGTCATGATCCCTTGTTGTGGTATGTTTCAGGCGTCTCATCCGGTTGTGGTACCATGAAGTCTTCACCTAACGAGACCAACAAGGCCACGAAGAAGGATCCTGCGCATTAGTGCTCATGAGTTAGTTGCCCCATTGCGATGTGGCTGTGTTTTTTACGATTATTTTTACTCCATGTGCTTCCAATGTTCAAGTATTATTTTATCGCGAGTGCATCTGTGCACATCTGGCTGTAAGATTTTATTCAGTTTTTAATTAGTTCTTGTTTGATGCTAATTGTGGCCTTGGCAACCTGCATACAAACTTTTCGAATTTATGGCAGTCTTTTATTTTTAACCCCTCAGTGTCCTTTTGATGAGAATGATGGACGACGATGATGTTTAAGAATACTGATTCAAAGAAAATATATTCTAAGAATTGCTGCACATGTGCTGATTCGTTTTTCTTAAGTTCATCGTAAAATTTACCTCTTTTTAAGACCAAAGGCTTAAAATGGTCTCTGTATGAGTCAGCCTGGAGGTTTTACTTATATTAGTATTATAGATCCAAAATATTTTAACCGTATTTTCTCGTATATAACTTGCACTATTTCCCGATCTTGACCCCCTAAAAACCGCTGCGGGTAATCAGCGCGTGCGCGTTATACTCTACAAAATGAAGTGTCGACGTAGTATGCTACAGCACTAAGATTCCAAACGCTATGAGCATAGCACGCATGGTTAAATGCATTGAGATATTGCACCATACGTGCAATGCCATAACCATATTCCACCTCACTTGCAATGCGTCCCGAAAATGCCCTATACTAATGCAGGGGAAGGCATTGCACTTCACGTGCAATTCAAAAGCATTGCACCAGTTGGTGCAATGAAAACGTCTTCAAATGCATTGCACCAATTGACGCTATACTCATAGCGTTTGGATTTTCAGTGAGATCAATCTCTTTCAAAGACTTTTAGAGTGCTGAAGTCCCCTACCTTTTGGACGTAAAACTGAGCATCAGTACTTGCGGGCATGCTTCAACCTGAAGCATGCTTTGTCGACACTTCAGTTTGTAGAACACAAGGGTACAAAAGTGCGAAATCGTGAAAAGTTGCTCCATGTACCGTGAAACGGGGTAATTTCGGACACTCGGTGTAATTTCGGACAACTCTGCCCGGAAGCACACTCTAGATGTCTTACGAAGAAATTCCACATATTACGAAGGAAGTGGCGCAAGCATAATACGAAGGTGGTTTTTCTTCGTATTACGAAGGTTTTTCTTTGTATCTTATAAGATGAAAAAGCTAAAAAGATTCGTATTACGAAGAAATATTGCTTCGTATTATGCTTGCGCCGAATTCACTGTAACATACGAATAACATAGGTGAAATTTCATTGTAAGACATTTAGAGTGCATGACGATGATGCTCCCAGCTAACGGCCAACTTGGAGGCTTGTCCCGTTGCGCGCATCGCATCGGCCACACTCAAAACCATCTGATCACTCACCCGGAGGCCGAATCAGGGGCAAACTTGAGGAGAAAGAGTGGTTTTTGTATTCAACCATTTATACCTAAATTTGCTTTACGCGTAAAAACATTGACTGGCAAGCCGAAACTGTTCATGGCCGATTCATGGTGATTGTTTATCGATTCGATCATGTTTAGAGCATACTGTGTCAAATTTTCAATCACCTGGGTGAAAAAGTATGGTTCATATGGGATGAAAACTAAAAAAAAAGTTACTATTCGGGGTAATTTTGGACATACAAACGTCACGCCAGAGAGAGTAGGTATGCCCTGAACACGCTCAATTTCGCAGGGTTTGAGTGGTGGAAGCTGAAGAGCTCGTCTGAAAGATGAATATAATCCAATAACAACGATAATCCCCAATTGTTACGGCGGTTGCTTTGTGAACTTAGAATTTCATAAAAATGGGACAAAGCTACGTCTTTAATACTGCGTTTATTTTAACTTCGTAAGCCTCCTTGCAGACCAAACACACTAATTGGCTCGAATTGGCTCCCCAACTTAACACAGTGTGTCGCAGAACACCATGACAGGTCATCTAACAGGCTATTGCTAGAGCAGTAGAGCAGTTCAACTATTTATCAGTGAAACAAGATAATTTTTTTTCTACTTGTGAAGGATGAACTGCTTTTATAAAAAAAGACAGGAGCTTTTAGCATCAAATAGGGAAATCAATAAAGAACTTGTCATTAGAAAAATTAAGGTCTCGACAACTTTATTGAGGAGAATTTGGGCCAACGACTAAATTTGTTACGTAAACTTACAAAAGCTCACAAACTTAAGGGAGTTGGGCGCTTTACATTTAGGTTTAAGTTCATCTGATAGTGAGCAACTAGAAACCAAAATTCAATCCTGATGCCACAACTACTTTGGAAAATGGTACTACACATTTTTTCCATTTTACAGTAACTTTAATGACCTGTTATGGTATCCTGGGACACACTGTATTAAGTTGGGGAGCCAAATAGTGTTTTTGGTCTGCAAGGAGGTTCACAAAGTTACAATATCTTCAGTTTGACACTAGTTTTGATCAAATTGATAGGCAAAGGGGCAGTTTTTGAATTTTTTGGGTAAAAATGAGAAAAACACTTAACGTAAAATGGTACATATCAACTAAACTAAGCAAGACCAAGACATGGGACACAACTCAAAACGTTCCTTGTTAGTTGGTCTTTGAAAAAATATTTTTTTTCAAAATCAATTGCCGCGTCATTTGAGTTAAATAAAAAAAAATCCTATTTCGACATAACTTGTCGAAAAAAACTTCATTTTTTTTTTCACATGTCTTTGGATCGAGGAGAACCCAAAACCAAAGTTTGGTTTGATTTGGACAACCTTTGTCAAAAACCCTGTTTTTCTCACATAGACAGCGTCTGTTGCGTTACGTCCACGGGGCACTTTTCTAATGGGTGCTTCATTGAAGTTCTGGCCCGGAAGGAGGGAACTAGAAACGTGAGAAATGACACGTGCCACAATAAACACACACTAAATGTCATGGGACTTTTTTTGTCCCACGGTTCATGCAATTTCAAGCACATCCGACGCTGATACAATTTTGTTCCCGACTGGTGACACATTTTGTCCGGCGCCAGCAGCAACTTGAACTTTCACCAGACAATTTGTCCCGCCTGGCGGACACAAAATTGCATCACCACCGGATGTGCTTAAAATTGCATCATTCGTGGGACAAAAAAAGTCCCATTACATTTTGTGTGCAGACGGCCGCATATTTCTCAAAGAACCAGTTATTTCGGACATCCGTTTTAATTCTTCTTCCCGGGCCAGAGCCTTCTCCGACACAAGGTATTGCATCTGGACCGAAGAAAAGTTAGAACCAAACCGCTTCTGCGCATGCGCAGAAGCTTTCTTAGCTCTTACTTTTAATCTGGTAACCCAAACTGAGTACATCCTACTTGATCTGATTACGTAACGCAATCTAGTCGTCACCGATCGAAGAACAAGAGGAGGAATACAAAACAACCGGGAGCTGGGAAGAAACTGAGTAGTATTCTAGCGAGCCCCGTGTACACTGGTAAAACTGGAGCGTAGTTGTATGCTTCATTCAAGCCTATCTAAAAGCGGGAGAAGGGCGAAATGGAGAACTACGCCTGAAGCCGGGCGTAGTTCTATTACGCTTGATACGCTTTTCTTCAAGCTTGAGTTCTACCAGTGTAGGTGAAATGTTGATGAACATGTTACTTCCGTTATTAAAAAGTGTTTAAATTAGACGTAAAGTGCCCTAGAGCAGAGAATCTTCGGGAAACTATGGAACTTGAATAATCGTAGAAGACTGCGAGCTTCGCAGTGCGAGGTTACGTTGCCGCCGCCACTTCCGGTTCTGTTCTTCATTGTTCTTCATCATGTTTCACGATCGGTGACGATAAGAATTCCCTACTAACGTGAAGGAAAACGAAATGGCTAACTCGGTCCGCCATGAGATGTCCCTAGAAGGCTTCTAGCTCGCTTTTGCTGGAAGTGCAGACTTAATTTCCCGTAAGTCTGAGGGGATAGATCAGTCTAGTCCTCGCCGATCGGAGATCTGGAGGAAAGAACAATACCGGAAGTGGCGTCAATATTACCCTACATACTTATGTGCTGGGATTAGTTTTAGAGTTTTCCGCAGCGCATCTCCTCCAAAAGCACTTCCGTCGCTTCGGAATTCTTTTTGACAAGGAAATGAAAATATTTGTCATCACTGTTCCCTCTCACCGGGCTTGCTACCTCCTCCCTTTTTGTCCGGCTTCCGGTTTTGATCTTCCTCTTCTTCGAAAGGCTACGGCTAGAATGATCTATTCTGTTGCACTTCCTCTTGGGCTCTGCAAACTGCATTGTGAACTCAGTATGCATTTACAGTACGTACTTGCAAGTACGCACTAAGGGATGCATACTCGTTTGAGTGCACAAGTACTGATGCTGACTTGGTGGAGAACACATCTCTAAATGCATACTTGGTTAGCTACACACCTTCAGAAGATTACACGGTAAAAACGGTTTCTGGTTTACGTCCACAGATACCATTCATCTGTGGGTGAGTGCTTTGATGTATGACTTTACAGATGCATACCGAGTGCACACTTTAGTTTGTAGTGTGGTGGGGCCAACGATTCCGTCACTGTGAGTAAAAAGTACGGAACATGTCTGGTCAAAAATTTGCCTGAACCGTCCGTACTTGCCAACTACGGAACGTTCCGTACTTTTTTTCCATACCCATTTACATGGGTTCATATGGAGCAAGTACGGAACGTTCCGTACCATTTCTGTACAAAAGTACGGAATCTTTTTACAGTGATCGTTTATTAGTGTGAATCCTCTTCCGAAGAACAGCGTAGTGGTTGGCTCATCTTCAGCGCACTGTAGTGTTCGCATGTCGTGCAGGTAGTTCCCTGTTCTGGATCGAGCTGTCGGGAACCTGGTCCCTCGTCGTTCATCTGTGGCGATGGATAGTGAAGCGATGGCCAAGCCGGAGATATCGGTAAGTACTTGCCTTCGCCTTGGCGTACACATTTAAACGTTTGTTTTGCTTTATTTAGCGGTTAAGACCACTGTGAAAATTTGTTGTCACTTTGTGACAAAAACGTGGATGACATGTTCATCACTTTGAGATGACGATTATCTCGTCACAAATTGATGACATTTTCATCAAAGCTCCTATACTTATTGCATGGGCGTGACAACAATGTCATCAATTGACTTGGTGACATCCTTGTAAGGAAAATTAGCCTTGAAATTGTCGTCAAGTGACGACTCAAATTTTCACAGTGACGGCACACAGCGCCAAATCGTTAATAAATGAGCGAATTTTGCTTTTGTTCTAATCTTGTGAGTTCACTGAGTACGGGCCACTATGTACACATGAGTACGCTAGTGATTCACCCCTCCGGTGCGCAGGAGCTGTATTAATAGCTTCCTTTTGTTCTTCCGTTTCAAGATTCATTGGAGTACCCTATTTTGCTATTACAATGCCGTAATTACGGCCTACTATGCCTCAAAACTTGAAATAATCGAGATTTTGCTCAAACCCCTGAAAACATCTCAATGTTATATAAAATCAGGGAATTTCGGCTTACTTAAGGCAACGCGCACTATCGCATGCTATTACTCAAAGAGTGACCAGTCTTCAGCATTCTGGCCTCCGTCCTCCAGGAGTTCGTCTCATTTAGCCATCTTCGGCTGTTGAGTCAATGTATGCCGATATATATTCAATTGTAAGCGTATTGGGTTAAATTTGAAGTCTACAACTTGACAGAAACCAGAACATTGGCGAAAAGGCTTTCTCAATAATTTATTTTAACGACTGTATTATGGTCTCCGTCTAGAGTTTTTGACTCTAAATTCCCCTTTATTCGCTTAAAATTGAATGCTTTCCCGCGCGGGAGAATCTGCAGTCTGAATTGTACCAAGGAACTGACGTCACACTAGGCTTTGAAGTGAATAAGGAGGGTAGTTGTAGTGTGGATCAATTGTTCTGAAAGTGTTCACAAGTGTGCTATTTTGTTTCTTGAATGAAGTATGCATCGGCCACAGTCTAACTGCGGATGACCGGCTGCAGTGCGAGTGCGGTTAAAATACAGTTTAAGTACACTTAACTGTACTTTAACTGTGCTCTACACTGTGAAAATTAGTCGTCACTTGATGACAATTTCAAGGCTCATTTTCCTTACAAGGATGTCATCAAGTCAATTAATGACATTGTTGTCACGCCCATGCAATAAGTATAGGAGCTTTGATGAAAATGTCATCAATTTGTGACGAGATTGTCATCATTTCAATGTGATGAAAATGTCATCCATGTTTTTGTCATAAAGTGACAACAAATTTTCATAGTGTAACTGCCGAAAACGTAGTAGTTTTTTAGGACCTTCACAGTTTTTTGGACAGTTTTTTTGCAGTTATTTGCACAGTTCATAACAGTTTTGTCAATAATACGGTTTCGTCCAAAAAAATTCAAAATTTTTGACTTTATAGAGATTTCAAGTTGGGGTTAATTACTTGACGCAACATAAGTGGGCCCAGAATTTTTTTTTCAACCATCTCATTGTAATCAGCACCTCATAATACGCCCTTTTAACATAGTGCCTTGAAACGTTTTTCCATGTAAAAGAAAAGTTTTGAGGCACCATGTTAAAAAGGCGTTTCAGAAGGTTCTAATTACAATGAGATAGTTGAAAAAGAAACTTTTTCTGGACCCACTCCCGTTGTGTCAAATAAGTAACCGAAAAAAAAATCGGAGTGCCTGCATCTTTGAAATGGTGCGTTTCCGGAAATGCATCCATTACACTCTCATTCCAGGAACGTGACATCGTTTGAGCATTGTGTCACATTCATTTGGAAGCGAATTGGCCAAAAATCTGCTTTTTCACATTTAAACAAACGTGAACGTGTCGTTTCAACGTGATGTCACGTTCCTGCAATGAGAGTGTGGACACAAAAAGTCCAATTTTGAGGTGTTCTACCCCCTCCCGAAGTTTGGCCAACACCCTGTATAACAATGAGTATTGCGGTTTGAATGACAGTTCCCTGTCTCTGCCCGCAGCTGCTGTCCCTGCCTGACGACGCGCTGCTGGCCGTGCTGGCGTTCCTGCCCACGCGGGACCTCTTCGTGTGCCGCGTGGCGTGTCGCCGCCTGCGGGACCTCTGCCTGCATCGCCACCTGTGGCGGGCGGCTACAGTGGAGAGCAAGGGCGTGCTGCGCGCCGCGTTGGCCGTCGCGCCCTGCATCGGGACCATCGGTGAAGTGCCCATAGAGGCTCTGGAACCCCTCGTTGCCACCGCCTGCACCGTCTCTGAGCTTAAATTACTCGTGGTGGGAAAGGAGTCAGCCGCCTTGGCCTCAGCTTTGCTGTCGAGATTCTCCACCGTCTCCAGTGGGTTGAGGTTGAAGAAGCTCAGCTTAGAAGTAAGAGGCCCTCTCACCAGGACAAGTAGACGGCTCTTAAAGCAGGTGTGTTCCTTCACCGGACTTCAGGATCTGAGTATAGATCTCAAAGGAGAGCTACCGGAGAGAGAGTGGAGTAAACTCAATGTGCAGCCGTCCTTATCAAAGCTGAGCTACACTTCATCTTCCAGGGATGCCTTCCTGCAGCTCCTGCTCAGCACGCACTCGGCGACTCTGGAAAATGTTGATCTTCAGTTCCGCGAATATTTTGAACTCCCTTGGAGGTCTCTAGCCAGTTTATCCAGGTTGCGCTCACTGCGTTGCTTCCAGGATGATGGTCTGTCTAAATTGGCTGCATTGCCTAACCTGAACTCTGTTGAGCTGGAAGCCAACGACCAGTGGTACGATGGCTTCGATCCAGGTGCCGTAGAGTTTCTCTCGAAGGCGCCGCACCTGCGGATGGTGAAGCTCGGGGCCGTCTCACACGACACTGCTCCGCTGCTGGCTCTGGCAAACTCACCTTCGGCTCCACATCTGGAGAAACTTCACATCTACCCGTGGTTTCAAGATTTGGACGATGAGAGCAACGTCTTCGACACTCTGGCCTCTGTGCTACAGGAGTTCGTCTCCCTGAACTCCCTCATAGCCGTAATCGATGAGCTACCGTACGACCTCCTTCAAGTCATCAGCCCCATCTCTTCACCCAAACTCACCGTGCTTGTGTTGGCCGATGTTACTGGTGAAAAGTTTAAATGCCTCCATGAGACGCTGCACGACCCCTTCGTCCAGGACTTGCTGGTGGGAAACCCACAGCTGCATCTCCGTCTCAAGGCGCACGATGAAGACATGGACCTCAAGTCTTGCAAGTCTTGCTCGTGGTGTCGCAGGAGCTGCCATGTGCGACTTCGTCGCGATGTTCGGGTTGCCTTGTCGTCCCACTGCAGGAGAGGCGGGTGCCCGGTTGACTGTTACCAGGCGTTCCAGCCCAGCGACCGCACTTACTCGGAGTCAAACCCTGACCTCTCATAATGAAAAGGAAGTGAAGATGCCGCCCTAATGTCAGTGTCGATCTGTCGCTCTCTTGAAGTGAATAAAAACGTTTTCAAACACTTTGGTTAATTTGAGTTTTTTTTTTAAAAAGAAGATGATAGAATTAATACGCGTTCATAAGCGTAATAGCGGGGGAGGGGGGTAAGGTCATATGTAAGATAGGTCGGAGCAAACGAGACCTGGCAACTAATCCCTCCCCAATCCGTCGCCGGGTGCAGCGGAGGACCGCCTGCCTGCCTCCGGCTTGCCCGATCTTCCATATGAGGGCGATTCCGTGCGTAGAGGCCGTTTTAGCCACCTCAGAAAGTCACATAATCAATCTTGCTTGTTCGGCCGGAATTTTGCCTAGATGGCATCAATGGAACCCCAGGAAGACACTCTGAGCGTGGGCGAGCTACAAGTTGACTTTCGTTTTCTCCCCCTATAAAATATGACGGAATTTACTGAAAAAAATGACGGAAATTACGCTTGGCGGAAATTACAAACAGATGTTTCTGGCTCACTGCAAATGCCCATCGCCTCAGAAATATGCCATTAGTTTGGCACACTTGTTTGACGTCAAGACGTCTCTTTTCACGTGTAGGATGACTTTCAAAACCCAACAGGAGAGGAGCGAGAGCGGCATACGGAAATTACATCAATTGTTACAACCCACCGTTTTCACACACAACTTCCACTCGCACACTCAGCCCCCTTACTTTTTCGCTACCGGGATTCGTTCATGGGGTAAACAGACCGTGCTGATTCTAAATACGGCGGTGGTTTTGAGCTGGGAGCACTCCTAGTAAGGGAGAGTGGGGTAATTCCGGACACTTTTTTTCTTTTTCCTCTTTGAGCTTGAATTTGCTTCTTGGGTCAAATGTTATAACAGGAGAGTAAAGTATGGACCTTTACCTTCAAAATGACATATATGAAATCCAAATCTCAGCACGGTTAGGGAGATCTAGGCGCCTAACAAAAACCTTGCACGTGTCCGGAATTACCCCAGGCTGGGGTAATTCCGGACGACCTATGGGGCAATTCCGGACGACCTTAAAATTTGACTCTACTCGAGTTTACTTTCGCTTGTTTTGATGTGAGGCATGCTTTTAGAAGGCGTTCCAGGACATTTGCTGCGAGCTTAAGTGTTTGATTATCACTAAAAGCATATTATAAAAAGTATAGTTTCTAGTAAAACCCCTAAATTGACAACACTGCCTTGAGTATAGCCCTTTAACATCGCTGCTCCCGCAAACCGTTTCACCGGAAACCGCCGATAACGTTAGTTATAGTCAATTCAATATATCTTGTCGATATGAAATTAATGCAATGTCTTACTTAAATCGACTTTTTGAGGCGACCTTTGTGGCTACAGACTTTTTGCTACACAAAATTGTTCAGGAAGAAACGGACTTTCAATGGTACAAGTCGCTTTCTATCTGGGAAGGTGCAAACAGGTCTTAAACAACGCCTAAATAAAGCAATTTTTGCTAACTTTTCACAAAATTTTCGTCTAATTAATTTTTCCTTTTCCGACGGAACTGGAAGCTCTATGGGTCGGTTCCTATCCGAAATATTTTAAATTTTTATGATTTGGGATGTTAGCATTGCACGTAGGCTATTATGAGAAGCCTGGGTCACGTTTTACTTTAGGGTATATTGGCCACGTTTTCGGGTTTCTCTGTGGGCCGCCTGTAGGGCCTGCGCTGCATGGAGCCGGGCTGGAGGTGCCTGTGCCGCTAGGGCTACTGCTTATGCTAGCCCGGCTCTGCGGCGCTGCTGCTCGGCCGCACCACCGTAATTTCATAAAAGAGGGAGGTGAGGAGGAAGAAGGGCGGGGGGGGGGAGGTAGGAAGTGGAAGGTAAAAGGAAGAGAAAGGGAAAGAAAAAGAGAGAAGGAAAACGAGAGGAAATTCTGCCTACTTCTATTGATAAAAATACGATTTCAAGAAATCCTAGGAGTCACGAAGTCAATATAGTTATTGTGTAGGAGTGTGGAGAAAGGAAAAAAGTTGTGTAAAAGGGATAGGGGGTGGTTTAGGTACGAATGGCAAGGGTACCAATGTGGTCGATGTGCCACCCGTCAAAATTTAAACTTGGCAACAAAAAGAAATCAAAATGCCGTAAAATTCGAAAAATTCCAATGCTAATGTATTCCACACTGGAACATCTTTGAAGTCAATCATTATTAAAATGTTCGTGGGGGAAAGGAGGCAGTAAATTAATTTTCGCGGGTTGGCAACAATCTTCTCGGCAACTGCGCCCTTGCGAAAATAGCGAAGCCGAAAACACGAGTAGTCGCGCATTAAAACTGCCCCGCCATTGTTGCTGACGTTGAATTGTTTGGCTTGTTTCAAAAGGCGGTTCTCTAGTCATGTTTTCTTCAATTCTGTGTAATAGTTCTCATTCACAACGTAATAACACCACGACGGTTGGTTTGACAAACTTTATAAACTCAGTAGGGATGGTTTCGAATCGCAGGTGAGTCTTGTTCGAGGAACATGAGCACTGAAAGTCGCGAGGTGGAGCGATGTGGTCATCGTGCTAACTGAATGAAAAGAAACATCAAACAAAAACTAGAGCTAAGACAGAGCTAAGAAATATAATTTTGTTTTATTGATTCAGTAAAGAGTTGATAAATGAAAAAATTGTTCTATTTTTTCAATATTTTTGAATCTTTTCTTCAACATGTGTCCTCAAAATATATTCAGATATAATGTCATAATTTAACCAGATTAATTTTGTGGTAGAAAATACACATTGAAAATGAAACAAACACAAAACTCACAATGAGTGTAGGTTTCCATGTTGGTATGACTGTGTAATGTTCCGCGCATGAGCAAAGACATTCCCATTAAAAATTTTCATCAGGCAGTGCCAATGAAAAGACTGCGTCCAAAAAACCCTCTTGTGCTATTGTTACATCTGTTCTATCACGGTCGCGGAAAGTTTTTTATTCGAACGTCCTTTTTCAAAGAAGCGACCGTTTTTGGGGTAACCTGTACACAAGCGAAAAGGAGCCATGCTATTGGTTGGGTTTGGCTCGGCTCCCCCCTCTCTCTTCCCTTTTCGTTGACGAGTCGAGCTTTGCTATGGAAACAGTGATTTTGACGGCAATTTTCTCAAAATTTATCGCTAAGATTTCAACCATATTCCAGAATTGAAATCACGTCTCAGAATTCTACCAGTCTGCAAAATCTCATCAAAATCGTACAGAGAGGTTTCGACTTGCATAAGGGGCCACGCGATCAAATCCCAGCGAGGCTGAATCCTGGGGGATATACTATAAGGCTACTTCGTGCCTAAAAATACGGAACGGGTCGAAAAGAGGAGGTTTCTTGCCCGGGAGGGAGGGGGAGGTATTAGGGGCGAACAACTTCGTCAAAATTAGCACACCGATATTTCAAATTCACGTTATTTCATTGTTCTTTCAACGTTGTTTCAAGGGTATTTCAACATTATCTCACCGTAATTTCAACGTTACTTCAATATTATTTCACGTTGTTTTTTTTCAAGGAAGATGTACACCAAAATTCGCGGGGTCCGACCCGGCGTGATGTAACGGAAGAACGACGAAAATAGGCACATGCACACCTACGCAAATGCATGAAATTGCGGTTTCCTCGTACGTTTCGACAGTTTCTGAGCGTTTTAAACTTTAAGCACTTCGTTACGTAACGCCCCGGGAGGGGGGGGGGGTCAAAAAGCGTTGCGCATTTTATGGCAACGGTCTGTAGCCAGGTCTCGGTCTGTGCGGACCCCTCAATAATCCTGTGAATCCCTACTCTCTCTCGTCACTTATCCGTCCTCATCACTAATAGTGCCCTACACTACAAGGGGGGTCAAAAAGCGTCGCGCATTTTATGGCCGACCCCTTATTGGCCTTCCAGACGGCTGGCCAATTTTCGGCATTCAAACAGGCTTGCTTACTCGCCACCGGGTCTGCAATGGTGCACTCCACTCTAAATGTTGTACAGTGAAGATTCTCCATTCCATATTACGGTGAAAATGTTCCATATTATGGTGGTGCAGCTGACTTCGTAACATACCATTGAGAATTCACTGTACCTTATAGATATTTCGACGAATTTTGTTGGTATTATGAAGAAAATCTCCCCCATAATATGTTGGTGCAGGCTTTCACCCCAAGACATTTACAGTGTGCTTTGACTCCAGCAGGGTTTGTGATAGTGCACCCGTCCGGATCGCCAGCGGACGTGGTCGCGACGCTGCTGACTCGGCGGCGGCGCCCCTCCCCCTCCCTTCCCCCTTTCGTCGCGGCCGGCGTGAGGGCCTCAAGGTCGTAAGGCAGGAGGGGGCGGGGGTCGCCAGCAGCGTCGGGCTGCAGCCTCCGCGCCCGCCTCGGCAGTGCGTGTTGACGCGTCGGCCAGACGAGACGAGCGTCCGGTCCACGTCGCCGCGCTTTGGTGCGCTTTGTACTCGTGTGCTCCGAATTTCGGACGCAGTTTCCAAGGCGCTGCAAGTGTGAGATTCTTTGTGCGGGTGTGTTTCTGACTTTCCGTTCGACGGCACTCCTGCGTTCAAACTCAGCCACGCAGCCTCCACGGCATCACCGCTGCCAGGGCGCGAGGCCGAACTCAGCCCTCAAGCAGGTCGGCCGGGTTACGCACAAAAGGTAGGTCGTCAGTCCTCCACACAGTAAAAACTCTACGAAGAATCGCTTCGTAATACGAAGAAAATGAAGGCTTTGTAAAATCTACGAAGAAATGCTTCGTATTATGAAGCAAAATCCTTCGCAATACGAAGCATTTCTTCATAATACGAAGCAATTCTGCAATGCCTTCATTTTCTTTGTAGTTATGAAGCAAATGCTTCGTAGGCTTTTAAGAGTGCACTGCAAATGCAAAGGCGATACTTAAGTACATTTTTTGGCGATACAATTATCGCCAATAAACGGCCTTATGGAAAAGTATTGCCTTCAGAACGGCGCTACACAGAAGTATCGCCAAAATTTGGCGATACTTTTGGGTATTGACAAAACCACGGCATTAAACTAAAAACTTGTCCCCTTGATTCGTTCAACGTTTATTGCCAAATCGTGGCAATACACTGAATTTGTTGTCACTTTATGACAAAAACGTGGATGATATTTTCATCACTTTCAAATTATGACAATCTCATCAAAAATTGATGACATTTTCATCAAAGCTCCTTTACTTATTGCATGGGCGTGACAACAATGTCATCAATTGTTTTGATGACATTCTTGTAAGGGAAATTAGCCTTGAAAGTGTCATCAAGTGACGATTTACATTTTCTCAGTGTACTCCAAAGTATCGCCAAATTTTGGCGACTGCTATTCTGACGTAAAATGCGATGAGGAATCCGAATCTGCCCTCAGATTTGGTCTAGCGGGATTACCAGTGGAGTAAATCGCGACAAACATGAAAATGAAGCCATATTTCACGAGCCTGCTTACCCTAGTAGAAAATCCAAATCTGCACTTCCGAACAGGCTAAATTGTAGTTCAGTTTATGGGCTTTCCATATCTGTATTCAAAAATAGTGGGTGTGGTCCTCCCTTAGTAGCTGTAGGCCGCAATAAGCAACTCTGCACTCAAATTTTAGCTAAGCAAAATACACATTTTTGAGCTTTATAGCTCTGATGGATGAGCTACACGCATGCCGCTTATACCATTCGAAAGGGAATTTGGAAACGAATCCAACTGTACCAATATACCACTTACCCGATCGGGTAAGTGGATGCCAAACTTCGCAAAAATGCCGCTAAAACTCAAAATTTGCACCACAAGTTTTTCCAATTGAGAAAATAAGTAAACGGCAGCATTTTAACTTGTCAAATGTGTACTCACTTGCTCGAAATTTCATAAGCTTTCGATTGGTATGTAGAAAAAGTTGGGTTTCGGCCTCTACACACAAGAATTCTCAATTTGACGGAACCTGTGCGCGCGAATCGGCTGAGACGGCCCGTGAAGGTAGGCAGCCAACCGGCGCGCAGTCTTTCCGTCTCTCTTGGGATGTCTAGCGGTAAGGGAGTATGGGGCGATTTGTAACAGGGGCGATTCGTAACAAATGCGTTTATTAATTTAAGTGGAGGGAGCAGAGGAAAATCTAAGTATGGCCCCTCTTTCGCTTCAAGTACAGGGTCTTTGAACAATCGAAGCGGATGTGATCGGTGCTCAGGTATAGTTTTGGAGGGCGTCTGAAATATAGGGTACACCGAAATTTCGGCAAACAGGCAAATCTTTTATTTTGAGTTCTAGGAAGTTTCTGTCTGAGGCTCCCCAGGTATGAATAACCATCGAAGTACCGTTGGGGCCTTGAAGCGTGACCCCTTAACAATGTAAACACGTGGCATAAGTTGCTTTTACTTTGTCCAGTGATAGTTAGGGACGGATTTCTTGCGTTACAGGCATTTTGGGTGATTCGTAACAGACCCGTATACAAACAAGAATTTAAGTAGTTTTTGCAATTAAATGCTTGAATTATTTCTCGAATCATCTGCTGCCTGATTCCAATACATTTACACAGCTCGAAAAACATTTTAAAGCGAGTTATTCTATGCTTTCCTCTAAAATTGAAAAAAGTGAGGTTAGGATTGACATAGCCTATCAGTTAATGCTCAGGCGGTCAACGGCAGCTTGTAATGTAGATTTTTAGACGTCTGCAGGACGCCCGAAGAACAACTGGTGGAGGAGATAACATTCCCGACGATGTTTCATTTAATGTGTAGGATGTTATGAAAAGCCTCATGGCTGTTGCAAATCACCCCATGCAAGGGCGATTCGTAACAGCATGCAAGGGTTTGGAAAACGTCTTAGATTTCAAAGATTACGGACTCGAGATTGATCCAATGGAGCGACACAGTCTAGATGAAGGGCCAGACAGGTCAACTGGCACAAGTTTGACACCGATATGCAGAATGTTCTTAATTTTGTATAGAGAATTCCGAAATCTGTTACAAATCACCCCATACTCCCTTACCCGTACTATCCCTCGCCCTACCCCACCCACTCCCGCGACCTGCCCTGATGGAATTGGCCAAAATAGGTGTCAATCCACTCAGTATGACCCCCTGAGTCGCCCTGCTATTATTTTTTGCAACTCCAAACCGTTTAGATTTTATGGCGATTTGAAGCTTTTGTCAACTTTGAATGTCGCATTCCTTGGCCACTTGGCATGTGTAGTGAGAAAGGGACCAGCCAGGTTTCATTGGCTTTCCTATAGACTATTGTATCCATATAAGTAATGAAATTTGAAAAAAAAGACGAAAAATTCGCATTTTGTCGATGTTTGGCATCCGCTTACCCGATCGGGCTCATATTGGTACCGTTGGATTCGTCTTCAAAGTCCCTTTCGAATGGTATAAGCGGCATGCGTTTAACTCATCACCCTGAGCTATAAAGCTGAAAAATGTGTATTTTGCTTAGCTAAAATTTGACTGCAGAGCTGCTTATTGCGGCCTATAGCTCCTAAGGGAGGGCCACACCCACTACTTTTGAATACAGATATGGCAAGCCCAGAAAACGAACTACAATTTAGCCTGTTCGGAAGTGCAGATTTGGATTTTCTACTAGGGTAGGCAGGCTCGTGAAATATGGCTTCGTTTTCATGTTTGTCGCGATTTACTCCACTGGTAATCCCGCTAGACCAAATCTGAGGGCAGATTCGGATTCCTCGTCGCATTTTACGTCAGAATAGCTTTACCGCACGAAAATCGGACAAGAAACGGTCTGTTTGAGCCATTTTGAAAAAATTACAAGATTTTTAAGAGTTAAAAATTAAAATGCCGATTCTGACGAAACCACTTGAGATATCGACCTAAAAATTTGTTGGCATGTTCCTGACCACTAGGGCTCCCTTCGTGCCCAATTTGGTCGAAATCGTCAAAGGTCACCCAGATCCGTGTGAATCTTATATGGAATGACCCCTACGCGATCCGACCCCACTCCATGTAATTCAGCCATTCACCATGGGTTTGCCCAAGCCAAGCCAGTCCGAAATTGCTACGACCGGACGATCCTACAACTTCCGTTTTCGTTCCTCCAGACTTCGATCTCCAACGTTGACGACGCAGTGCCGGGGCACCGATTGCAGTACGACGAGGATCGAGTTTCGAGCCGGTTCCGCCAAGGCGTGGTGTGCTGCGACACACTGTGCTGCCTCGCAGTGAGAGGGATTCCGTCGTTCAACCAGTCTGTCGGCGATCTTCACGAAAACAGAACTAAGGGGTGAGTGACACCGCATCTACAGTCTCGTTCAGTTCAATGGGAAAATTCATCAGATATGTTAAAGTCACTGAAATTCATCAAAATTTGACTGAAATTCATCTAATTTTGACTTAAATTTATCAAATTCCGACCAAAATTCATCGAATCTCGACTGAAATTCATCAAAATTGGACTGAAATTCATGGAATTGTGACTGCAATTCATCGAAATTCGACTGAAATTCATTAGATTTGTACACCGAAATTCACTGTGATATCCCCTTGGTTATGTTCTCACGCCCTGCTGTTAGAATCGATTAGATTGCTCTGCACACGCCCAAAACGTCACAAGGTGTTTCGAGCTCATGTAGGGTACAAATAAGTTTCACTGCTAGACAAAAGTCCCATCCAAAGAACGTAACAAAATCTGGTCCAAAATTTGCCCGAACCTTCCGTAACTGCCGAATACGGAACGTCTGTCCTTTTTTTTTTCCGTAACCGTTTAGAGGCGTTCACATGGAAAAGGTACGGGCTTAGCGTATTTTCACAAAGTAATGAACAAGAAGACCGCAGGGGGTTGGTTCCGCTGCAATATTATCCCAAGTTTTGTAAAGCATTGTATGCAATGAATGCCACATTTGCGATAATTTAAAGCAATCATACTATCCTTTTGATCACTGCTAATTGCTGCTTATCACACAGTGTTGTACACTGTCATACTAGTTTTGACTTTTTTCCATTATTGACTTTCTATCCTTTGCTTTCGTAGTTTTATAAGCGGCAATAATGTATAGTATTTTCATTGTATCCATGTACAATATTGTTCACCATTAAGACTAGACTGTCATCAATTATTTACTATTTTTTTAGTCAATTGCGTACTGACTCTTTGTCAAGAGCGAACTGACATTAAGTCAATATAACGAAGAAAGTTTTACATAGATATTAAGGAAATAGTACTTTTTGTTCCTGTGCAAAATACTCTTTAACTGAAGATAAAAAGTCAACAACAGCCTGAGAGTGTGGACGTTAGACACAACGTGCCTATCGATTTCCAGTGCATGCGTGTCCCACACCAGGATTTGCATGCATTCTCTTCTGAAGGCTTGGATAGTGGTGACCATTTATTTCTGTATTTCAGGGACTCCCCATTCCCAAACTGAAAATGGCGCACGACTGTCCAGTGTGCGGTAAGAAGAATGGGTCCGCGTCCAGTCTGACAGAGCACCTGCGGACCCACACGGGAGAGAAACCTTTTGAGTGCACGGTTTGTGACGGGAAGTTCAGCCAACGTAGCAACTTCAAAACGCACCTCCGGATCCATACAGGAGAGAAGCCCTTTGAGTGCACGGTTTGCGACAAGAAGTTCAGCGAAGGTAGCAGCCTCAGAAAGCATCTCCGGATCCATACAGGGGAGAGGCCCTTTGAGTGCACAGTTTGCAACAAGAAGTTCAGCGATGGTAGCACCTTCAAAACGCACCTCCGGACCCACACAGGAGAGAGGCCCTTTGAGTGCACAGTTTGCAACAGAAAGTTCATTCAAGGTAACGGCCTCAGAGCACACCTCCGGACCCACACAGGTGACAAGCCCTTTGAGTGCACAGTTTGCAACAGAAAGTTCATTAAAGGTGACAGCCTCAGAGCACACCTCCAGACCCACACAGGAGACAAGCCCTTTGAGTGCACGGTTTGCGACAAAAAGTTCAGCGAACGTAGTAATTTTAAAAGGCACCTCCGGATCCACACAGGGGAGAGGCTCTTTGAGTGCACGGTTTGCGACAAGAAGTTCAGCCAAGGAGGAGACCTCAGAGTTCATCTCCGGATCCACATAGGAGAGAGGCCCTTTGAGTGCACAGTTTGCAACACGAAGTTCAGCCAAGGAGGAGACCTCAGAGTTCACCTCCGGACCCACACAGGAGAAAGGCCCTTTGAGTGCACGGTTTGCAACAGGAAGTTCATCCAAGGTAAGGACCTCAGAGTTCACCTCCGGACCCACACAGGAGAGAGGCCCTTTGAGTGCGTAGTGTGCAACAAGAAGTTCAGCGAAGGTGGCGGCCTCAGAGTGCATCTCCGGACCCACACGGGAGAGAAGCCCTTTGAGTGCACGGTTTGCAACAAGAAGTTCAGGCAAGGAGGATACCTCAGAGTTCATCTCCGGACCCACACAGGAGAGAAGCCCTTTGAGTGCACGGTTTGCAACAAGAAGTTCAGGCAAGGAGGATACCTTAGAGTTCATCTCCGGACCCACACAGGAGAGAGGCCCTTTGAGTGCACGGTTTGCAACAAGAAGTTCAGGCAAGGAGGATACCTCAGAGTTCATCTCCGGACCCACACAGGAGAGAAGCCCTTTGAGTGCACGGTTTGCAACAAGAAGTTCAGGCAAGGAGGATACCTCAGAGTTCATCTCCGGACCCACACAGAAGAGAGGCCCTTTGAGTGCACGGTTTGCAACAGGAAGTTCATCCAAGGTAAGGACCTCAGAGTTCACCTCCGGACCCACACAGGCGAGAGGCCCTTTGAGTGCACAGTTTGCAACAGAAAGTTCATTAAAGGTAACGCCCTCAGAGCACACCTCCGGACCCACACAGGAGAGAGGCCCTTTGAGTGCACAGTGTGCAACAAGAAGTTCAGCGAAGGGGGCGGCCTCAGAGTGCATCTCCGGACCCACACGGGAGAGAAGCCCTATGAGTGCACGGTTTGCAACAAGAACTTCAGCCAAGGATCATATCTAAAAAATCATCTGCGAACCCACAACAAGTAAAGCGCTTTGAATATCCAGTAAACAAATGGAAGCTAAGCCGACATAATAGTAGTGTCAAATGCGCATTCTCTGCGAGGACAAGCATCTCATTTTGTATTTTCGGTAAACGATTTCATAGTGGCAGGCGTTACTGTACCGACTGAAACAGATCACAAGGCGCATTACTCATTTATTTAGTCCCAATGTGTTCGTCCAATGTATGAAACAACTATCTCCGTGCTAATCTTTTGCTTTTCAAAGAATTATAAATTTTTTTAATTTAATTTTTCATTACTAGAAGTTAAGTGGGAACTCAGTGAGAACAATCTGACTACTAGACTAACGTGAGATAGTTTACCGTTTGCTTGCAGGTGACTTTCACAGAAATCAAATGGCTATTGTTTGTTGTAGTGTTGACGATTGAACATGGCACCGCGAATCCAAGTGTGGTACAGGCATGCACTAAACATTATGGGACAAACTGTCAAGTGTGGAGCAAGGCTTTTTCCTTTGCTTATATGCGAGGGACACGGGTTTTTCCTACGCCTACAAACGTGGGTCACAGATTTGTCCTATTCTTCCAAACGTGGGACACTATTTGTCCCACGCTTACAAACGTGGGGCACAAAAGTTGGTCCTACTAACGTAGGACTAGTGCTTGCCTGTCTCACATTTGGGTTTGCAGTGCGGATTTAACTTTTGTCAGTTTAAGTTGATTTGGATGCAGTTTAAAAGCTGATGTGAACATTCTGGTTTGAATGCTGTCTTAAAGCTCATCTGAACATTTTTTTTATTTAGGCCATTGACTTGAGGGCTCTGCAGGTCCTAGACCCTCGTTTTAAAATGATATTGTTTCGGATTCGAATACCTGACAGTATCTGATAATGAGATTCCGTGTCTGAAATAGGAATCCCAAGTGTGTTTCTCTTCCGTCATTGATCGTTGAAAGATGGCAATGATTGAGCCTTGTCAATCTTACAAAAGCGTTGTATCTACATTAGAGACTTCTCTTAACTGTTTGGAACTCTTTTGAATAAAAAAGTGCTAAATACATAATTGACGTGTCCTTTGTTTAGATGAAGCTAATTTCATATCTTGAGAGTATACCCCGTCCCAAAGCAAATACTGTTTAATTTAAAACTCAAGATGCAAAAAAAAAGGTTCGCTGATTCTTAATGAGTTATGTGGCCAATTGAGTCCTAAGTATTGTCTGGGGAGTAAGTGTTAAAGGGGGCAATACACTGAAAATGTCCAAAAACTGACTTGTGTGATTGCTTCCATACGCCTTGTTGATCGTTGTTCAAACTTTTTATGTGTCAAGACCTTACAAAAAGAAGCATTTTAAGCCCAGAATGGCGTCGATCGGACGTCATGGAGCGGAGCAGCGCCCTATCAAATTTTCGTCAAAAGTCGAACTGGCGGGCGTCCCTCAGTCCGCAAAAATGGAAATATCTCGACCCCGTTTGCGCCAAAATGTAGGTAATTAAAGCGGATATAGCATGAACTAGGATTATGAACATCGAGCAATCCAAAGTACAAAATTTCATCCAAAAACACCTTTTGAGGATTTTGCAAAAATGATCAAAACAGGTTTTTCGTAAAATTTTGTACTTTTGATTGTTCGATGTTATGAACATTCTACTTCATGCTATAGCCGCTTTAATTACCTACATTTTGGCGCAAACGGGGTCGAGATATCTTCATTTTTGCGGACTGAGGGACGCCCGCCAATTCGACTTTTGACAAAAATTTGATTGGGCGCTGCTCCGCACCCTGACGTCCAATCGACGCCATTCTGGGCTTAAAATGCTTCTTTTTGTAAGGTCTTGACACAAGAAAAGTTTGAAGAACGCTCAACAACGCGTATGGAAACAATCGCACAAGTCAGTTTTTGGACATTTTAAGTGTATTGCCCCCTCTCAAGTTGTACCGAGGGGCAAACAACTTCGTCAAAATTTGTACACCTTCAATTTCACGTTATTTCATTTTCATTTCAACGTAATCTCAAGGATATTTCAACGTTATTTTGCGTTACTTCACCGTTATATCACGTTATTTCACCGTTATTTCACATTTTTTGAAGGAAAATGTACACCAAAATTCAAGTTGTTGGCCCCTCGGGGAGTTTCAGGGACGGCGCGAGTTTGAATCGCAACTGGCGACACTGTTGCTTAGCTTGCGATTCTGGGCTTGGCCAGCTCGCGAGTAGCGACACGCCGGCAGACGTGTCAGGGCCTTCGGCAGCACCGCACCTGGAGTGAGTACTTGGTGGTTCTTCCTTTCCCATCATTTCAAGACCTAGTTACTCAGCATAGCCTTGATCGGGGGAGATCCGAGCAACACTCAGCCGTATCCGACTGGTTCGGTTTAGTAGGAGTTACACAAGGTAGGTTTACGCCAGACCGCGTCTTGTCGTAACAGGCTTCGCGATGTCTCGCTGCCTGTTCCTCCAATCCGCGCCTGGCGTACCTATCTTGGCCTGCGGCGCTAGCCTGCCTTCGGCAGGCAATGGCTTGTCCATCGTCGGTTACTTCTAACTTGATGCAGCCCTTGTAACTTTTTAACTTGTCGGGGCTGGGGGGCTCCGCCCCCCAGACCCCCCTTCTTCAAGACAGAAGTGATCTGCCTGCAGAAAACTCGATTTTTCGCCGTTTTTTTGGTTTTTTCGGCTATAAAAATGAACCAGTTGAGCTGGGATAGTGAAATTTCGCGTGTGCCGAGCCAAGGACATGCCCAAAAAGTGTGCAAAATCTCACCGAGATCGGCCGAGCCGTTCAGGAGGAGTAGTGCGGACACAAACAGACAGACGGAAAACAGACAGACAGACAGGAAAAACTTTTCAACCCCAATGGAGTAACAGGCTTCGCTATCGCTCAGCCAATTAGAATCCTCTAACTGCAAGTCCACCGAACAGTGCGCATACGACTTGGTGGAAGTTGCGACGGCTTTAACTGAGTACGAATGTCTCGTTAAAGAAGTTCCTGGGTGATTCCGCGCGTAGAGGGCATTTTCATGTCCACACCCTCCCCAGAGCAAACTTATTCGAGTGCAGTCCATTTATACTCTTAAGAATCTTGTTTGGCACTAGACTAGCTTGTTCCCTTTCTATACGGACTTCCAAAGCTAACATGTGACGCGGGACGGGGGCCAAAAGGGTCCTTTTTGTAAGTTCCGTCATGTCCTCGCACCTTACACCAACTTTGCGGCTCTGTAACCCTTTGTTCCTTTGGGAATCTTAAAATTTCCCACACACACCCATCTAATCTCTAACGTATAGTGACTATCTTGCTTGAATTTGAAGATCGTATACTGGTAGGAAGTGTCCTTTCAGAACGCGTACGAAATGTCCACCACTCCGACTTTTTCCTTAGTGGTTTCAAAGTTACCACCAAAAAAAACTACTAGGAGTGCTCCCTGCTCAAAACCACCGCCGTATTTAGAATCGTCACGGTCTGTTTACTCTATGAACGAATCCCGGTGGCGAAACAGTGAGGGGGGTGAGTAAGCGAGTGGAAGTTGTGTGTGAAAACGGTGGGTTGTAACAATTGATGTAATTTCCGTATGCCCCTCTCGCCCCTCTCCTATTGGGTTTTGAAAGTCACCCTACACGTGATAAGACGTGTCTTGACGTCGAACTAGTGTGCCAAACTTGTGGCATATTTCTGTGGCGATAGGCATTTGCAGTGAGCCAGAAACATCTGTTTGTAATTTCCGTCAAGCGTAATTTCCGTCATTTTTTCAGTAAATTCCGTCATATTTCATAGGGGGAGAAAACGAAAGTCAACTTGTAGCTCGCCCACGCTCAGAGTGTCTTCCTGGGGTTCAATTGATGCCATCTAGGCAAAATTCCTGCGGAACAAGCAAGATTGATTACGTGACTTTCTAAGGTGGCTAAAACGGCCCCTACGCACGGAATCACCCGGACAGCTATCGATGCGTAACCTGGGCTGCTGCCGGTGTGATCTCCGCATAGCAGCGTATCTGCGTAGCGGTCAATTTTGTCAAGTACACCCCCGTGTGAGGGAGAGGATTCTAAAAAAAAAGGGTGAAGTAGAAGACATTATACGTAGCTGAGTCGAAGGGTGTGTATAGGGCATTCCAACCGATTCCAACGCCCTTCCAGAAAGGAAGTAAAAAGAACATTAAGCGGAAGTCGGGAATAGCACTTCTTACACTATAAAAGTTAATGTTCGCAATAAAGGACGGATCCTTCGGCAAAAAAATTGCCAACGGTTCCTTCGTTAATTTACGAAGGTCTTCGTATATTTACAAGAACCTTCGTACATTTTTTGAAGGGCCTCAGTTGATTTTACCATTACATTCGAAATTTAAGAACCACCTTCGCAAATCTACAAAGATCCTTCGTAAATTTACAGGGAACCTTCGTTAATAAACAAAGAACCTCCGTTCATCTACAGAGAACCTTCGTAATTATAGGTCTGCAATTAACGACGGATCCTTCGGCAAAAAAATTGCCAACAGTTCCTTCGTTTATTTACGAAGGTACGTCGTAGATTTGCGAAGGCCCGTCGCACGTTAACGAAGCCCGTCGTGAATTTACGAGGCCCTTTGTAAATTTACAACAGACTTTGTAAGTTTTTGATTTTTCTTCGTAAATTTACTTTGAACCTTCGTAAATTAACGACGAACTTCCGTTGATTTACGAAAGTTCTTGTAGGAAAGAAACATTAACAGTGCACTTTTGGACATTCCCAAAAACCTTCGGAAAAAAATTCGGTCGTAAATTCACAACATAATATTTACAGTGTAAGAGACACGCGTCAGAGTTTATTTGCCAGGTAGATAGCACTCACGAAATAGTGCCGTTTCTGACTTCCGTGTTAGTTCTTTTTACAACCGCTCTGGGGGTAGGGCGTTGGAATACCGTACTGAAATGGTAGAATACTAGCATCCAACGGAGGGATGAATGAAATACTAGAGGAATAGTGAGCACCGGAAAGAGTTCCCGAAATCTCTTCATAAAGAATGTCTTGACGGTTCCAAATTTTGAAACCATGCTTTTCTAGAACCTACATGAGTTCCAGGTTTTTGTCACTCCTGTTGTTTTTATGGGGCTCCCTCGTGGCAGTATTAATCGCTAGAAGGCGTAGGGGATGAATCAATTACGTTTTGCTTCTGTTGTGTTTCGGAATCCAGGCAGAGTGGGGTTAGGCATTCATGGAGTGTGTGTCCAGATGTGTCCACATTTTATTTGTCGTTTCGGGGGTTCATCTTCATTCCGGAATTCCCGGAACTGATCCGTTTCTCCGGTACGCCGAGCATTGTGCGTATGAAGGATGGAAAATGCCATGCATGGCGTACTGAATACTGCGTCCAGTTCCCTTTATTACACCTGGAACCATTTCATCGCGTGTAACGTCTTTCATCAAAGGGTCAGGTCAACTAATAAACATGGGTCACTCCCCATCCATGGGCCAGACGACTGGCGCAGGCGGCCAAGACTCTTGACGCGTTTTGAGCTCTTAGAGTCCCTAAACAGGACTGGGACCAAACGTGTGGCCCCATCAATTGATTCGTCGTTCGGAGGGCAATCAATAAGTGGGGGTCACACGTTCGGTTCCAGTCCCATTCACTGCGAGAAAACACTACAGAGATCCTGTTTATTTTTTCACAGCGTCGCTCTGTACCCAAAACTACAGCCTTTCAAAGACGGAGCTCACTGTTGTTTTTTGTGTTCATCTCTCTGTTGTACGAGCGGCCAATGCCACATCGGGACGGCATGGCCAAAGCCTCATAGGTCACCGTTGGGTCCCCGAGGACGTCGACGGGCACCTCACAGGGTCCCCGATGACGATGCGAGCATTTTAGACCTAGGTTCCGACCATTCGTTGAAAAGGTCTCGTCAAGATCCTCTCGAATCAAGAATAAAAGAAATTTCTTGGTCAACCCCCTTTTTTCAAGATCCCGATTGGTCAACTGAATCTTGAAAAAAGGGGGTTGACCAAGAATTTTTTTTATTCTTGATTCGAGAGGATCTTGACGAGACCTTTTCAACGAATGGTCGGAACCTAGGTCTAAAATGCTCGCATCATCATCGGGGACCCTGTGAGGTGCCCGTCGACGTCCTCGGGGACCCAACGGTGACCTATGAGGCTTTGACCATGCCGTCCCGATGTGGCATTGGCCGCTCGGACAACAAAGAGATGAACACAAAAAACAACAGTGAGCTCCGTCTCTTAAAAGACAGAGATCACTGTAGTTTTGGGTACAGAGCGACGCTGTGAAAAAAATAACAGGATTCTCTGTAGTTTTTTCTCGCAGTGTTTAGCGACTGTGGAGCTCAAAACCCGTCCGGGATTTTGACCGCCTCCACCGGTCTTTTGGCTCACACTGTTGCTCACTCTGTTGCCATTTTTCTTACTTCCGGCACTAGAGTCTTGGTGTAACTGGCGTAACGTGATAAATATTGACGCCCTATTTTGATTTAGGTTACGTCCCTCTTCTGCATCGTTGCCGCTGCTGGGACGTCCTCGCTGACAACGGGATCCGGAGAACCTTGCCAGCGTCCCATTGGAATTCGCTGCAGCGCCGCCGCAACAATGGACCAATCGGTAAGTCGTCTCCTCGTCGATAAAAAAAATCATAGCCTCCTGCGAACCGAATTTAGGACAGCGATCCTACGGCACTTTCCCCTGATTGGACCGACAATTACTTCAAGTTCAAAGCAGCGATTCTTACCTTCACCAGCACCATGTTGTCAGGCAAATTATTGAATGATACGGAAACGAAAACCTTCGTAATATGCGGGTAAAATCATCCGTATACGAGCTTAATCCATCGATAATTACGTTCACTGAGAATGCAAAAGTCATGATGAATACCCAATTTTGGGCGAGGTTTACTTTCTCACCCAAATTTGGGCGAGGAATGTTGCCTCGCCCAATTTGGGTGAGAAAAGCTTCCCCGCCCAATTTTGGGTGAGGAAGGGTGTATCAGCTCCCTATATAGCTCCATAGTATTATGACCCAAATTTGGGTGAGGAAACTTTCCTCACCCAAATTTGGTCGAGGAAAATTTCCTCACCCAAATTTGGGTAGTAAAAAATTCCTCACCCAAAATTTTAGTCATGATCATGACTCTTTCATTCTCAGTGTTGGCACCCATCGTCACTGTTGTTCAACGAATGTGACTTCATATTCGTTAGAATGTGAATTTTGTCACGTTCATTTGAATATGTTGTCACATGTCGAGGGGTCCTATTCAAAGGATCTTATCTGGGCGTTCCCCCGAAGACAATCTTATCTTAAACGCCTGCAGATTTCGCACATTTTGATCAACCAGAATAAATAGGACGACAAGCGAAACACATTTCTACATGCACTTTTGGTTTCTTTGCACTTCCATCTTTAGATTCACGCGATCAAACTCTCAAATTATGTTGATAAGTAGCTGTACCAAATGATCAAACTATGTAAAATCCACATGCGTTTAAGATAAGATTGTCTTCGGGGGAACGCCCAGATAAGATCTTTTGAATAGGACCCCTCGATGTTTGAATATTTGTCCACGTTCAAAAGACTGTGACATCGTATTCAAACGTGCGTGGCGAAATTCACATTCAAACGAATATGACGTCACATAACAGTGCTCCGGCCTTAATGAATGATTGGCCATTAGAGGGTGACATTCCTGGAAGGAATTAAAAGGCCAGTCTCGCTGATAGCTGAATTTTATTTTTCGGTCAGACAACGGAGTAAACACCAACTGTTACGTACAATGTTGTACGAGACTTCAGTTTTCTTGCACAGATGAACTTTTCGTACAATTTTCGTACCAAAAACTGCACATATTTCCCTATTTTTGTGCAAAATCACACTTTTTCTGCTACATTTTTGAGGTGGGACTGTTTCTCGCCGAAAATGTTTGTTTGCCTTCTGTTTCCTCTCCAATCCATCTCTAAAGTCTCAATTTTATTTGAATGCTATGTCGGCTTCGCGTAAAAGGAGGTGTTTATCGCTAGTCTAAGGGCTCGGAAGTCGCACTGCCAGCCGAATCTGGAGCGTTCGAATCTGCGTGGACACTCGTCACACACTTAATCCCTTTGCACAATTTTTGTACACTCTCAGACCCGTACTGAGTTCATCTTTAATAACGTATTGACGTTTGTGCACATTAATGAGCATATTAACATTTTTATTTGTTTTATGGACTATATTACCAATTTCGTCTTGACAAATCTGTTAAGCTTCTTAGCGAAATTCTATTAATGTGCACTAACGTTAATGAATATTAATAAAATGTCCATTGAAGGATGAGAGTGTACGTGGTCTCGTAACATTGGTCGATTCCGTCTACAAATTTGTGCGAAAAAGTTCGCGTGTCTAAAATTGTATGAGAGCATGCAAAAAAAAATGCTCAAATACATTTAGTGTGCACACTCTACAAACTTAAGTGTGCAGTACTCAGTATGCATCTACAGATGCATACTTGGCTGAGTACACACCTACAAATGCATACTTGGTTGAGACAACATCTACAGATGCATTCTTGGCTGAGCACACACCTACAGATGCATGTTGTAGGTGTGGACTCAGCCAAGTATGCATCTGTAGGTGTGTACTCAGCCAAGTATGCATCTGTAGGTGTGTTCTAAGCCAAGTATGCATCTGTAAGTGTTTACTCAGCCAAGTATGCATCTGTGGATGTGTACTTGTAGGTAGGCATCTGCAGATGCATACTGAGTACACACTTCAGTTTGTACACTGAGAAAACCTTACAAACTATTTTGGGCCTTACAAAGAAAAGTAGTTTGTAACAAAGTATTTTGAGCACACATAAGCTTACAAAGAAAATACTTCGTAATTTCCGAACTATTTCTTCGTATAACAAAGTATTTTAGTTTGTTATAGGTATGCTCAAAATACTTCGTAAGGTTTTAAGAGTGTAGCGCAGTCAAAAATTTCCATTCTCAAACGGCTGGATTTTTTACAGTGCACCTTTTCGGAGCCTATATTTTTAGGACCTTGTTCTTTTGTGCTATTTACACCTGCCTTGGTGTTCGGAATGCAGATTGTGGGCGTTAATGCGTTGCCTCTCCTGCCCGCAGCTGCTGCTGGCCCTGCCGGACGACGCGCTGCTGGCCGTGCTGGCCTACCTGCCCCCGAGACAGCTCTTCAGCTGCCGCCTGCAGTGCCGCCGCCTCCGCGACCTGTGCCTGCACCCGGACGTGTGGCGGTGCGTTCGACTGGATGCAGGGGACTTTCGTTTTCTGGGGCGCGCCGCCCTCCGCCTTGCGCCCTGCCTCCGCGAACTGGATCTGGTCTTCGGCGTCAACGTGCAGGACGCGGTCACGGAGTTGTCTCGCACTACGTGTGTCATCGCCAGGCTGGGGCTGGTGCTGACGGGCGACGAGGACGTGGTCAGAGCCGTGGCTGCGGTGCAGAGGCAGTCCAGCCTCGGTGGTTTAAGTGGGCTTCGCCTGCAGTTTAATGGCCTAGGGGAACGTAATGTCTATCCACTGAGTGTGGCGGTGCGCACTTTAAACCACCTCTATGATTTAACCCTTCAGAATTACTCTGGTGTCCCGCTGCTAGCTTCTTTGGGTGAGTTGGAGGGCAGCCCGTCCTTAAAGAAGCTCTCCTACACCTCGAACACGAAAGATAGTTTATTGGAAGCTACATTGCAGACTCATGCCGCTACCCTAGAGCATGTGCATCTCCTCACGGATTACGTTCCAGTGTCTTTACTCAAGGCGTTACTCAAGCTGCGCTCTTTGACAATCTCACGTTACTCAACGGAAGACCTATCCGACTTGAAGGCCTTGCCCAACCTCACCTCACTTCATTTCGTGGGAAACGTTAGCGCAAGTGCACTGAAACTGCTGCGCAGGGCGTCGCGGCTCCGGTCCGTGACGGTCCCTTTCTGCGGGCCGCACCCCGCTGACCCGCTGCTTGCCCTGGCCGCATCGCCCTCTGCCCGTGTGCTTGAAACACTGTGTGTGCGCTCTGGTTCTCCATCAGACAGCGCCCAGGTCTGTGGCCACATGGCCGCCGCCCTGCCCCAGTTTCCGACCCTGCGAGCCCTCACCATGGAATCCCGCCCTGTCTGGAGCTGGAGGGAGGTAGACTTTGAGGAATTCTTTGAGGCTGTGAGTCCAACGATGGCCCCTCGCCTCACCAGGCTCGCGGTACGAGCTCCTTGCGGTGTGTGCCCCCACGCCTGGTTGCACGACTCATCTGTGCAAGACCTCCTGCAGCGTAACCCCGGGCTCCACCTTCGCGTGCTGTTCCTTTGCTTCTGCCAGGATTGCTCGTGGTGCTTATCCGGCTGCCACTCGGACGTGACTGCCAGGGGCCACTGCCAGGTCACGCTCGGGGCGCACAACAGGGCGGCTGGCTGCCCTCCAGACTGCTACCGGTGGAAGTGCTGATGCTGAGACGCCGGCATTGCGAAGGTCCGATGGCCGTCTTTTGGTTAAGAGTTCATTACCTGAAGTTTCAGTTCAGCTCCTGTTCGCTTTGTCTTTGTTTTGCGTGTTTATGATGATGGCATGTCTCATTACTTGTGTTGTAGTAATTGACTCTTCTTTGTGAACTATATTTTTATATTTTCAGAGTTGGCTTATTAAGTAGAGTCAACCTGTTCTTGTTGAATTTTCGACTTTCAGAAGGTCCAATTATACTTTCTGTCCATTCATACTTGTCTTGTTGGTATTGACCCACTCCCATCCCACGTTTAAATCAGCACACACAAGCAGTAACATTTAGCTATCAAACTGTGGACACGAACACATTTTCCCTCTAACGGAAATCATTCTGCTTTTAGAAGTGACTTCCCAAACGCACTGGGTACAAGGTAAAGTCAATAGGTGTCCTTTCCAGTCCGCTAAGGTGCGCGTCCGAGGGTTAGGATACCTCACTGTTTTCTTCAATTACGCGAAAACAGGTCCAAGCGCCATAAAACCAGTATGATATTGTAATTGGGGGTAAAATTCCGCATCCGGCAATATACTTTAGAGGCTCCAACTCGGTGGAGCCCTTAAAGTAGACAACCCCGTAAGAACAAAGGAAGTAAGTGCGCAACTTCCGTCCCCTCGCCTGAGGAGAGGGTTGAAGGGGCAGCCATCTTTATCCCCTCCACAGGCGATGGGACGGAAGTTGTGCACTTCCTTGTTCTCTTCTTACTTCCTTTTCAAAATTCGCTGAAATACCCTATTGGTACTCACTCAATACTTGCCACCAGTCGTGTCGGTCTCACGGAAAACCAGGGGTTGGCAACAGCCTAGGAAGAGCGTGAAGCGATGCTCGCGCCATCAATGCAGAGGTTACGGCCTTTTCTTCGATTGAACCATCTAGGCCCTTGTTTGCAAAACGCTTTGCACAGATCAAAAGAGCATGACATTTCGGGTGCATTAGGCTTATTGCCCTTCTCAAAACTCCGACCTTACCTTTAAAAAAATTGAAGTGAAAACACCGAAAAACACGAGAAATCATAGATTGTGGGAAAAGCTTGTCCGCGCCATGTTGATGTAAAGTTTTTCGGCCTTGTGTTAGGTTGAATTGGAAGTACCGGGCAGGTTACAAGGTATAATGCACCCCAAATTTTATGCTGTTTTGATCTGTGCCAAGCGTTTTGCAAACAACGGGTAACTTGAGACACCAAATTTCATTGAATTTGACGGAAGTTGAGTGGCGTAACCTGACACTGACACCTCCTTGTGCTACACTGTGGTTTAAAGTAACGGACCTCTCCGTTCTAAGATCAAAACCAAGCCGCATTTGATCGGGAATCACTTTTTTAGACAGTGTAGAGGGTCCCAAGTTGATTATGCAGCTGAGAGTTTGAGTGTTTTCTCAACTACGCACGGACCAGATGAGGCATAATAAATCTTGAAGTCTCAAAAGATGGGGAATTTAATTACCTTTCAAACGAGCTAAATGTCATTGAAGTCATACAACTTTCAGCCCAAGAACCGTCAATTTTTTTTAAGAAAAACTACGGTAAAAATAGTTTAAGGATTTCGAATAAACTTTAAAAATTGACTCAGACCATTTACCTTTGCAGGAATGGATTTGTGTAAGTAGAAATAAAAAGAATGTCCTAACAGGTGTCAGGGTTGGGTGTGAAATGAGAGAATGGCAGCACTTGACATGGTTGGATGTGCAATGGGAGAATCGTTGCGCTTTTGAAGTGCCGTTATCCGTCAAATCACCAAATGTGACATTGTTGAAAAGAATCTTAATTTAAGGTTCAAAAATCATCTAATATATTCCCCAAGTAGTACTTTTCATTGAAAATAAGATTAATGTCTCAGAAAATCAGTATGGACCGGCAAAAACCCCACTTCCGCAAAAACAAAAAAAAATCTTTTAAAAAATAAAATCCGAAAATTTTGGGAAGGGGGGGGAAAAGAAAAAAAATTCAAAAATTGGGGGGTCCCCGGGGGAAGCTTTTTTGCAGGAAGGGGGGTTTAGGTGTTTTGGGGGGGGGGCGGGGTCAACAAACTTATGGACTTTTTAGAAGTTAGGGGGGCCCAAAAGGTTTTTACGCCAAAATTTATGTTAAATTAGAAACCAGTGACTTTTAATGAAGGAAGCCAAAAAGGGGGAATTTAATTTTTCCAATACTTTTGAATTTTCGGACAAACTTTGCAAAAAAGCGTAAAATGCATTTAAAAATCCTAAAAAAGTGGAAGTCTTTTTGGGGGGAAATTTTGGGGAAAGCCCCCAAAGGTTTTTTTAAAAAGGGATAGGGGTTGGTTCCGAAGGGCTTTGGTTTCATCGCCCGGAAGATTGCAGCCCCCCCTTTGACCCCCCGGGTGCTTTCCTCAAAAATTTTCGCAAAAAAATTTTCCCCTGTGTTGGGTTGCCTACCGGGCCCCAAAACGGCCTTGGGGGCCCCGGGGGCGTTGTCCCGAATTTTGATTTTTTAAGGATTTTTCCTTACCTTTGGGGGGAAAAAATTTTCGAAAAAAAAAAAAAATTTGGGCTTTTTCACCTCCCGCCCCAAAAACGGGCCGGTTTGGGGACCCACCTTTTTGCCAAATTTGAATTTTCCCGGGGGAGGGCACCTTCCAAACGGAGGGCTAAAACTTTTTTAAAATTTTTGAAACAAAAAAAAATTTTTTCGTTCCCCATACCGCCCCAAAAAGATTGTTTCTCGGGACAAAAACCGTTTTGAAAGAAGCTCTAAAATTTAACCGGTGACCGGGCCTTTTTTTAGAGTGGCTTTAAAACCCCAAACTTATAATTGAAAATTTAATTTTCCCCAAAAAAAACATTTCAATTCATGCCGGTGGCCCACAAGAGATTAAAATTTTCCATTTAGGGGCCCAAAATCAAGAGGCCAAACATTTGGTTTAAAGATGCACTTGCAGGAGAGCGGGGCAGTTCGTAACAAGTGGCAATTTTTAAAAAAAAAAACCTCACATTTGCAAGGGGGGGGGGGCTTCCTAAATAAAATAAAAAAAGTGAGGTGAACCGGCTTCTTTTGCAAGGACCTTATTGATTTGCATTTAGAAATCGATACGGTTGTGACCGGTGGACGTAATAATTTGGCCTCGAGAAGACGGTGACAATTCCAAATTATGTTACGAACTGCCCCCACCTCCCTTATATACCGTAGGCCGTGTTCACTCCTACAAGTACGTACATTGTGCGCACTAACTGGAGCGTATATATTCACGCAAAGGTGGAGTGTGGATAGGAATCTGCACATGGATGTTTGCTCCAGAAAGCATGCAAATATACGTAGAATGTGCAAACCTTGTGTACACACTTTAAGTAGAGTAATCGACTGCAAGAAAAAAACCAACACTCGCTAATTAAGTTCTTGACAAAGATAACGGGGCTTTTAAATTGAACGCCCAAAAAACCCAATTAAAGAAAAAAGCCCCAAAAAAACCAAAATTCGAGAAAATTCTCAACCAATTAAAACCCTTTAGACTGCAAAGATTTCAAACCTTTGGATTAAAAAAAGTTAATCAGTTTTTCATAAGATTAACTTTAATCAGTTTTATAAGATTAAACAGTTACATCAGTGTTTCATAAGATTAAACAGTTACATCAGTGTTTCATAGGATAGGAACACGAACGAGCGCAATGCGCGAACTCAAGGCACACAGTGAAACATCTTGACGTGAGTTTTGAGAGCATTGCGTGTTAAAAACTGCGCCGAACACTGCTTGCATCCGAACTGCTTGCCCTTGGAGTGCCTATCGATGTGGCTCTTCTCATCCGAGATGGGAACACAGTTTAGACACCGAGGGCACACATAGTGCTGCGTGGAACCTTGCTTGGTGTGGGTGGCTTGAAAATGGGCAACAAAATGCTGCCAGCTGCCGAACACCGACTTGCACCCCTTGCTGGTGCACCGCCCCACGACGCCGGGCCGCCCAGTGGCCGGGGCGGAGGCTGGAGCCAGGGCCTGCACCCAGGCGGGGACGAAGGTCGGCAGTGAGCCGGTCGGCGTGGCGTGGTGGAAGTCCTTCTTGTGGCGCGCGAGGCCGGCGGCGTCAATGAAGCGGGCGGGGCACAGTGGGCACGGCTCGTCCCCGCGGCGGTGCGCCTCCAAGTGGCTCTGCAGTCCGCCGGCAGGGAACACGTCCAGGCACGTCGTGCATACGGCATCCCTCTGGCGGCGGAGACACAAAGCGCCCGTTAAAACGTTGTGACGTACACTACAAACCTAACTGTCTACTAAGTACTAAGTACTTACAAATGCATGCTTGCAAGTACACACTTACAACCTTTTCTTGCGCATGGAGTTTTTACGGCTCAAGATGCGTTGTAAGTAGTGTGTACTTGCAAGCATGCATTTGTAAGTGTGTACTTGGCGTTAGGTTTGTAGTGTAACACTCCAAATTAAAGGTGACACTTTTGGTACCTGTTTTGGCGGTACAATTGTGTATCGCCAACAAAGGGCCGTACAAAAAATTTTGCCTCCAAAGAGGCGATAAAGAAAAGTATCGCCAGAAACTTGGTGATACTTGGAAGTTCGCCAGATTTTGGCATTAAACTTGTAAACAGTATCACAGTTTATTGCCAAATTTTTGGCGATACTTCGAAGTATAGCCAAGTTTTCGGCGTATCGATACTTTTGGTTATCGCCTTTTCACGGGCAAGATTTCCTGTATGGCCCTTTGTTGGTGAAACACAATTGTTTTGCCAAAAAAGAAACGGAAGTATCACCTTTGGAATAACAGGGCCATTCCACGCCAGACCACCGAACCCCTAAAATGACCTATCTCAGTTTTCACTTTTTTTTGGTTGACTTGTAGGGCCCAAACCCCCCCGAACTCCCAAACCAAAGGATTTTGAAAAATATCAAACGGTTTAGGAATAGCAGCACTTTGAATATTGAACTTTTTATTTAAAGTTTTATTTCATTTTTTTCATAAAAATTTTTTTTTTTGAATGCCAGTGAGGGTTTTTGTTTATGATTTCCTTTTGATAAGTCCAAAGAAAGGGAAGTGGGTTAAGCACTCTGGTGTTTCCCAAATTAGGATTTTTTACTTGGGGAAATTAGTCAAAATTACTAAAAATTTGCTCTACTGAAAATACGTTGTCATGGATTTGGCTCTTTTTTTGGTCAAATGAAGGTAGTTATTAGTCGAACAAATCCCTGAAAAAAAACCTTTTGATTTGGGCACTCTTCAACTTAACGGGAAGAAAAGTTGATGTTTCACTATTAACGGTTT